GAAAGTCTCTGCTATCCCACAAGGATGCTCATATGCAGCTGACTCTCAGGATGCTTCTCTATGCGCGTCTGAGCCTCGATGGCGACCATGAGTTACTCACGGACGAGCTTGAGGACTCGGCTGTTGATGCTGTGTTCCGCCGACACCACTTGATGGGCTATGTCATGCAGAATTGGGTTGTCCACTTCAGACAGGCCGGTTTTGTCGTTTCCAATGGCGAGATTAGTCTGCCCAGGGGATTCCGTGACATCTTCCCCGATTCTGTCATGTTTGCTCTTCTTGAGCGACCGTGCTGGCGCCGATACCACGGTCATCAGGATACTATTGAGCTTCATGAGCTTACGCTCCGCATCCGAGAGACTTGCTTCGGCAAGGAGCATGTTTCCGTTCTGCAGAATCTCATCACTCTTGGTCATGTCCACGTCACATACTCGACAGCAGCTGATTCTTCCATCGTTGGAGCACGATTCTTCTACCGCGCTGCCAAGTTGGGACAGATGATTTTGTCCAAGACAAACGTCATCGTCAGCTCTTGTACTCATATGTTCCTGACATACACCGAAACCATTGTCATCACTGAGCGCACGGAGATTGTGACCTACCGCGAGGAGATGATTCGCGTATGGATCACCATTTGCAAGCACAAGTATGGTCCCTCCAGTGATGAGGTCATCCACTGGCACGAGAAGCTTGCCAAGCTGTACATCTGCATCAAGGAAGAGTGGCGCGCTACTGTTGTCTACAAGGAACTCTACGAGATCATCGTCATCCGCTACGGCAAGAAGTCCCCCGAGGCTGGTCGCATTGGCGCCTTCTTTGGCACCCTGGACATCGTCCTCAAGGGCGAGAAGGGTGGAAAGGAGATTGGACAGCTTGAAGAGTTCATCTTTGAGACCAGCGAGGATCTCGAGATTCATGACCATCTCTGTATCTCCATGATGATCAAGCTGGCCAGGTCCTACTACTCCTGTGGCGAGATCTACCTGGCTGAGAGGCTGTTTATCAGCCTCTGGCGACGCATCTCCATCATCTGCCGAGCCAAGGCTAGTGTTGAAGTGCACGTTGCCAAAATCCAGATCGCCCTCGAGTACGTCAGGTTCCTTCGCGAGGTGAAGCGCACTGAAGAGGCGACCAACATCCTCATCTGCCTCTGGGCCGAGTATGAGCACCACCACTGTGAAGCCGAGACTCTTATCGTCTGGATCAGAGAACTCGGCAAGACCTGCAGGAGTTTCAGTCTTTTCAGCATCACCATTTCAATCCTGACCAAGGTCTGGGGCTGGTTCAAGAAGAACGGCAAGACTGAAGATGAGGAAGCTCGCAAAACTACTATGCTCATCACCGAGGTTGTTGAAGAGGTGACAGAGACAACCATCACCAAGAAGACGACCACTACAACTACGACTGAGGTGACAGAGACTGTGGTCAAGGAGATTTACGAGACTCATTATGAGCGCTGCAAGAAGACCAAGGTTGATCGCAGCTTCTTCTCTGCCTGCATGGCCCTCATCGGCACATACTTTGAGCACCAGAAGTGGTCCGAAGCTGAGGTCATCATCAAGCGAACTCTTGAGATCACCTGGAAGGCCATCTTGAGCACCGATACCAAGATTACTCTCCACGAGCATTCTTCCCGAGAATGTATCCTCGTGGCTCGCCGCCTTGCTAGGTGCTACCACTACCAAGGCTTCTTTGAGAAGGCTGAGCACATTCACCTGCGCATCTACTATGCTTGTCTGGCTTCTCTTTCTCTGGAAGATGAATGCCTTCACCAGTCTCTTCACGTTCTCGTCGAGTTTTACGAGGAGCACCACCGCCACGAGAAGATTATCGAACTCTACATCTCGATCTTGGATCGATACAAGAAGAAGCTGGGCCACAGTCACCACCTGACGATCAAAACTTTGTACTCATTGGGTTACCACTGCAAGCTGATCGGCCACAAGGATGCGTACATCTACTATCGCGAGATTGTCACCATCCTCAACAAGGACATCAAGCACTGTCACCACGATGCTTTTGAGGCTGCTCAGTATCTTCTCCGTCATTACTACCACCGTCACATGTGGGTTGAGCTGCGGGACATCTCCGCTCTCATGTGGCAGACCGTCATCCATCACCGTGGAGGTCTCATCGTGACTGAGGAGATCATCACGGAAATCTACGAGAGATACACTTACGTGCTCGAGGTTCACATCAAGGTTGAGTTCTCTGTTCTCTACAAGATCTCGGTTGAGTACAAAGAGGCCGTGACTCATGTCTGTGGAAAGGACTCTCATGGCTTTTTTCTGGCCTTGATTGCCTTTGCCAAGATGTGTGAGAAGAGTGAGAAGCATGAGCATGAGGCTGTCAACATCTACGAGGAGGTCATCAAGAAGACGACAACGACAAAGACCACCACGACTGTTGTCACCGAGACCACGGTGCACACTGTCAAGAAGCGTCTCTCCAAGTTGTACGTCACAATCATCACCTCGGGCAGGGAGACCAAGAAGATTCCCCTGGATCGGGCTATCCTGATCAGCATCGAGACCTATGAGTATCTCAAGCTCACACTCGGATGCTGGCACGAGGAGACGCTCCATCAGCTTCGGGACGTTATCATTCTTTATCACAAGTGCAACACCAAGGAGACTCACGCCAAGATGATCAAGCTTCTCGAGGTTTCTATCATCGAGATCATCACTACTGTGACCGTCACCACCGCCCTTTTCAACGCTGCCATCTCGCTGGCCTCTATCTACGTGAGTGTCAACCTCACCAAGCAAGGCCACGAACTCCTCCATCAGCTGCGACATCTCATCATCTTCCGCGAGGGCATGCCGTGTAGCGATATCACGCTCAAGCTCGACATGCACGTGAGCAAGCTCGTATTTGTCTTCCTGAGCGCCTTTGAGCATGGCCTGTGCAGCAAGGACTGCGCCATCACTTACTCGGAGATTATGGCTTCCATCATGTTCGAGTCTCTCCTTTACGAGGAATACTCTCGTGTTATTACCCACGAGAAGAACATTGAGATCATCCTCGAATGCGGTGCCAAGCTTCGCTGCTTCTGGGAAGAACACCAACGCGTCCAGCTCCTGGCCATCCTCGACAAGAGGCTATTCCAGCAGTTCAAGACCGAGTACAACCTGTACTTCAAGGGCTTCAGCGACGAAGACGTTCGTCTCTTCTACCTCGCTCTCCTCTCCGAGCTCGGCAAAGATCGCAAGGCCACCAAGATTGACTTTTCACTTCTCGCCGTCAAGGCCGGAAGCGCCAGGGTCAAGTCCCTCCTCGAAGCCAACGACTTCCACTGTGCCAACCAGCTCGGCCGCATCGTTTTCCGCTTTGCGCAGGGACAGAAGCTATACCAGCGTCCCAGCTGCATCCAGTTTGGCTACAAGCTCGCCGAGTTCCTGGCCGGCATCGACGTGCCGCGCCCTAGTGCCAAGGACGAGAAGATGCGCAATGAGCTGTTGACGACTTCTCGCGAGATCATGGCCGAGGTTCTTGCTGCGTTCCGTGCTGCCAAGATTGACTTTGTCAGCCTACGCTTCGAGGATGTCTCTGGTCTTATTCGTCTTCTTGGTGCTCAGCGCAACTGGGACGAGCTCAAGAATCTACTCTCCCTTCTGTGGCAGTCTCGCGAGCAGATGCAGCGCTCTGGCAGCTGGTCTCCTTCCACCGTCCTGGAAATTGGCAAGCTCCTCATTCACGTCAAGTATGCTCGCGGAGATGTCTCTGGCGCCATCGACACGGCCGAGTTGCTCTGTTACAACTTGCGACGCAGCAGAGGTCGTCTGGACCTCGAGACTCTTGCCTTTTCTCGTCTCCTTGCTGCTCTGTATACTTCATGCGGTCGTACAGCCAGCGCCATGTCGATCCACGAGTCTGTCCTGCGCGAGATGGGCTCATGCTGTCACGGTAACGAGTTTGGCGAGGCATATCCGGACCGGCAGAGGCTCATCACCGAGGCCAAGTTGCATCTTGAGCTACTGAAGGCCTCACACCATCAGCTCCAGGGCTGGACTAAGCCGACGATGGAGTTCCGCGAGGTCCACGACCGTCTAAACAATGGCCTGGGTCTTGGCCTCCCAGCGTTCGAGAAGTGGTGCGGCAGCGCGCAGGACAAGAGCATCGAGGGGGGAAAGTACATACCCCCGAGCGACTGGCGACTCCAGAGCAAGGTCAAGCAGAGCAGCCCTACATGGAGGAGAAGATCAGGCCAGCCCCGGCCGCAGAACGGACTGGATGTTGTGCACACGGCGAACCAATGGTGGTTGGTGTACTGAACGAAGATCAGGTGTACGAACGGTTATGCCTGTCATTACGAAACATGGTTTCTTTTTGTACTATTACTTTGTCCGAGTATTTGGATCATGTCGCTCCTTGGGGATTTCATAAGTTTTTCGAGTGTCTAAGTAGTTCTTTTCCAGTAATATGATTGTCTATACCCTAATCTTGCATCTCTATTGCGACTCTATAAACGTCAAGGCACGAACAGTCCACCGCATTAGTCGACATAGGCTCATTAGCTTAGATGATATGGATATGTATCACATCTCGTACATCAAAGTATACATCAATTGACCTTAGATGGCCAGGGCGGCCACCAGTCCCATCAAGATGCCTCCGATATGAGCGGTGATTGAACCAGCGGCGCTATCAGCCGCCGATGGTGCCGCAGCGTCGTTACTTGATGATGCGGCGGAAGTCTCGGAGTCAGAGCTATCCGCACCTGAGGTCTCAGCGGTCGAGGCCTCAGTAGTCGAAGTCTCAGCAGTTGAGGTAGCATCCTTGGTGGTAGTTGTCTCAGCATCGGACCCAGTCTTCGTCTTGGTGCCACTGGAAGTCTCCTCGCTCTCGGTCGTTGCTTTAGTTGTGGTCTTTGAATCCTTGGTAGATGTCTTAGTCGTATGATCGGTAGTCGTCTCGCTCTTTACAGTCGTCGTAGTAGTCGCTTTAGTCTTGGTGCTAGCAGTAGTCGAGGAACTCTTCTCATCATCATCCTCGGCGGCATTGACCCTCTCCTTGACCCATCCCGCAACGTCATCGGTAAACACGTCAAAGTAGTTCAAATGCGTCTCTACCACGTCGCCCTGGGCACAGATAGGATCCGTATCAACGCAGTAGTTGTGCAGCACATCACCATACTTGGCCAGGTTGGCAAGCTGGTCACCAGGACGAGGGAAGAGACCATCCTTGCCGGCGCCGCTGAGGACATTGTAGGGCTGGTTGGCTGTGTGTCGCGTGTCTCCAAAGATCATGGCGGCGACGACTTGAGATGACATGTCAGCATGAAGCTGTATTAAGATTAGAATCGAGCTTACTCTTGTTGGCTGGACGAGTCTTGGGATCCAAGCCCTTGTTAGGCTCCTGCACACAGTCCTGAAAAAAGACGCCTCCACCACCACCAAGAATATCACCAACAACATGACCACCTTGCGAGTAACCGCTCACCACGAGCTTCGAATCGGGACACCTCTTGTTGTACGCCGTGATCTGCTGGATACCATTCTTGGCACCCTCAAAGACCGAGCCGCAATACGGCGCCTCGAGGGGGTTGTAGAACTGAATGTCCTCGTAGTCGCAGCTGTCTAGACCGGAGCAGATTGCGCCGGCGAGCTTTCCCTGACGACCCGGATAAGGCTCGTTGTTTCCCTTGGCGAGAAAGATGTGGACATCCTTGCAGGCTGTGTCGCGTGCGATATGGCCTTGAGCGGTGGCCGCGAGGACCAAAGGGAGAGCGACGGTTGTCTTCATGGTGTTTGAATGGGATGAAGACAGCGACGAGAAGTGACGACAGGACAAAGTTGGTCGCTCAAACAGAAACTCGTTTCATCAGTTCGGTTCAGCTGATCCAGGATCACATCCCCGGGAGCAAAAGCCCGGGTTTTAAAGCCTGCATCTGTCAAAGATGGGACGATCTGTCGCCAAGATTGCCAACCGCCCAATGAATGTCTTGAAAACCTGCAAAACTTGGTTCTCGTTCCTGCGTCACCGCCTATCAAAGGTCGACTTGAACGAGGAAATGCCCCGTCTGGGCGGGTCTTTATCACTCGGACGAAACCAGTTTGACAGGTTTAGCTTTGGTGGTGGAGTAAATCCAGGGGGTTCGTTACGAGATTTCGAGGTGGATCGTAATCAGGTTTATCAGGGCTCGGCGATACCGGGCGGCAATTGAGTTTGGAAGATTTGTATCGTCATTGAGAGGATGTATGAGTTGTGGTTATATAGAGCATGGAAGGTGAGCTCAGACTGAATCATATATCATTCATTCATATTAGACAAGTCCAACATCTGGGTATCGTCATATCCTATCTACAGCAGATATCTGTACGTCGGCGCATTATCACCAAGCTCAGTCTTTTCCTCCTCCGACAGCTCCTCCTGTGGCGGGTTACGATCCCTCCTCTTGTTCTCGGTAAACACCACGATGCCATATGTGATGCATGCGATAATCGACAAGACAGTAAAGGCAATGGAGATGGAATAACCGGGAATAAACTTGGGCGCATCCTTCTTGAGGAAAGCAAACACGGCGATGATACCACCAATGTTGCCGAATCCAACCTGCCATGCGCTTCCGATCGATCTTCGTCTGTGACCGCCAAGGTTCATGTTGAACCAGCATACAATGATGGGCATGGCCGTGTATGCGCCCATGGCGACGAGGAAGAGCGCTGCGTACTGCACCTTGGTGTTGTCGTGCACGCCAAGCAAGATAGCAAAGCCCGAGATGGCGACGAGGATAGCAAAGATGGCAAACGCCGCGCGGTGTCGGAGCTTGTCCGAGATGAAGGCGATCACCATGGAGAAGCCGAATGCGACGGCCCACGGGGGAACACTGTGAAGCTGAGTCTGCACAGGGCTGTAGCCGTACGTCTTGATGATGCCAGGCGCAAAGTAGGCGTAACCGTAAGCGGGAACGATGAGACCAAAGTACATGAATCCTCCGAGGATGATCTTGTAGTCCTTGAGGATGTTGAGAACATCGCCAAAGGTCGTCTTGCGCTCAGCGCCAGAGCTTCCCTGGTCGGCCTTGAGTCTCGCGGTAACATAGTCCCTCTCCTCGGGTGTCAACCACTTGGCTTCTTCGGGAAAATCAGGCAGGAGGAAGTAGAAGAAGAAGCTGGCAAAGACGGTCAGGGCGCCCTCGAGGATAAAGATCCATCGCCAGCCGGCATAACCCCTCATGCCGCTCATCTTGCCGATGGCTGCAGCGAGAAGACCACCGAATGCGCCAGCGAGGGTAGTGCTGTTGAAGAAGAAGGAGTATCGGCGCTGGGCTTCGTGACGTCGGTACCACATGCCGATGAGGTAGAAGGCTAAATGATGTAAGTCAAAAGTCTAAAAATGAATGCGCTCAGCTTGACATACCTCCAGGGAACATGCCCGTCTCAAAGAGACCAAGGAAGAAGCGCGTCGCAATCAGACCGCTGTAGTTCTGGACCAGGCCCTGCAGGAGGGTGGTGAGACCAAACAGGAACATGTTGAGGCTCAGCCAGACGTGGGGCTTGAAGCGCTTGAGCAGAATGTTTGAAGGGATCTCGAAGAGAATGTACGGCACGAAGAAGACGACGAGGGCGTTGTTGTACTGGGTCTTTTCGAGCCCAAGCTCGACCGAGAGATCATAGACGTCGGCGTTGGCGATGTTGACGCGGTCTACCACTGGTTAGCTGCGCAATGATTGTGAAATGAAGCGATCAACATACCCAGAAAGGCGAGCAGGTACATGATGCAGAGGAAGGGAATGACATGGAGATCAATCTTGGCCATGAGCTTGCGATCAGTGGTGCTAGAAGGGCAGACGAGCTCGGCGCCGTCAGTGGTTCCTCCATTGCGCTCGGGGTCAAAAGACACGGGCGAGTCAGTGCCCGAGGGCTTTTCCTCGCCGACGACAGCCATTGCTTGTCCTTTTGGAAGGCTTCTTTTCGGCAATTGGCGAGTTGGAGAGGGTGAAAAGAGAGAGGGATCGACGGAGGGTAAAGGTGAAGCTTTTAGAGGGGAGAGTAAGAGGGGATCGGCAACATATTTATTGCAAAACCCTGTTCATGTCTCGGAGTCAGTCCGCCGTTGGTTACACTTGGTGCACGAGTCACACATTCTTCTTCACTCTCATCCTCTCGTCTCTCGTTGGTAATATCCCATCGCCCTGTGGATACAACCAGATTCCGTCTCACGGAGCCGAGGTCGGGGGAGGGATCCTTTGTCGAGTGCAACCTAAACTATTGCCTCCTCATGCCTCGATTGGGATTGGACAGTCCCCGCAAAGCAATGGAGCCCTCGTGGTCTCTTTAACCTTGACTCTTTGCGGGACCCGTGGGGAAGAAAAGTTTGATTTGGGCAATAGTACGGAGTTGGTTGTGGAGGAAGTTGACCGATGTCGCTCATTAAATTTGAAGGATTCTTTTCTTTTCGTCTTTGAGTCAGCCTGGAGACTGATAAGGATATCATCTTGGGCCTTTTACTACGCTGTATTACTCTTGACATTTGAAGCAAAAGACAAGATCCTTGTTATGAGACAAAGGGTGTGGTTGTTTTTCTGGTGTCGGCCAAAATCTCTGCCAAGGTGGGATCGACGCCACAGCCGAGGTGCCGTCTTGGGCGTCATCTTGGGCAAAGGCGGCTCTGCTTCCCCTCTTCTTCTCCAATTCATGCCAAGATGTTTAACTCATGAACAAGCAGCATCTTTGCTATTAACAATCACGACTTGATACCTTTTCCCTGTCATGAGTAGATGTTTCATCCATCAATTCACCATGAATGTTCCATCATCACAGTACGGATCATCATTCAAGGACATCCATGCAACATTCCCATGCCCGTCTCCAAAAAGCCACAAAATGCAGCCTCCTGTTTGGCGCCCGCTTTGACACTCTACCACGTTCAAAAGAGGAAGCTCATCAAGAAAAGCAGCATCACAGGGACGATCTTCCTCTCAGACCCCACGGGGAAATGATGCTCCCATGGTCGGTCCGCGGAAGCCAACTACGGGACTTTTTTTGCTTCGTCGGTCCGGATCAATGGACCGAGGATCGTCATTGTTTGCAGAATGCCGGGATCAATTCCGTCTTTTCCAGGTGCCTGGGCACGATCATTGCTATCAGATCGCACTCTCAGAAACAAGACCCTGGGAGCATCACTTTGTACGCCAGATACCGTAACGACAATACACGTAGTTCAGCGGCTCCTATTCTCCAAGCAAAATGAAACCTCTGCTTCTCTATTGCTTATGAAGCAATTGAATTGATGGCACCTCCACATCATGCGATATGATATCATGCTGTGCGGAGAGCCCACCTCTAAACTCCGGCCTTTATCTCCATGAAACAACATCACCAACACCCTCAATCACCTACAATCATGGCAGCTTCGGGACACAACAAGTACGGCCCGGGATACAATCAGGTCAGGCATCACGAATGGAGGACCGCTGAAAACAGCAGCAACCATCTGCTGCCCAAGCTGCTGTCCATGGCCAAGGACAATCCCAATCTCAAGCTTTTGGATGTCGGCGCAGGCTCTGGCACCATCTCGACGTCGCTGGCGAGATATATACCAGATGGGCATGTCACCGCCACTGACATATCCGATGAGATTCTCGTCCGTGCGAAAGAGTTTGCTGATTCTCAAGGTGTCACCAACATCGAGTTCAAGCGCGCAGACGTCTTTGAGCTGCCCTTTTCCGACTCGACATTTGACGTGACGCATGCGCACCAGGTCCTCTGTCACTTAGATACCCCAACTGAAGCCATTCAAGAGATGATTCGAGTGACAAAGCCTGGGGGTGTGGTTTCCCTGCGGGAGAGCGACATGCACATGTGGTGTTTCTGGCCGGAGATCCCGGGTCTGCTCAAATTCCATGAGAATCAGATCAGAGTGCTAGTAGCAAATGGCGGACAGGATAAAGGAGGTCGCCAACTTGTATCATGGGCATTAAAGGCCGGAGCAGCTCGTCAAGACATCACGGCGAGCTTCGGCACGTGGTGCTACAGCGACCCCGAGGATAGAAGAGTCTGGGGTGAGTGCTTCTACTCAAGGCTATCGTGGCATTTCACTGACGTTTACCAGCTGGATCTATGAGGGAACGCTTGATTGGGGGTCACACGCGCCGTAAATCTCTGGAGCTAGGTATCTCTACAGAGAGTGAACTTGACGAGATGGCACAGGCTTGGCAGGACTGGGCCGACACGGATGATGCGACATTTGGTTTGGTGAATGGCCAAGTATTGATAGAGAAGAAGTAGTTCAAAAGTGTCAATCGAGGAAATTATTTTGCGAGTATCAACCTTCAATATTTAGCAATCTTTAGCGCACAGCTCGTCATCTTCCATATTCCACAGCCCTCCTGATCTCAACAGGGCTTACCAACCCAACCCAGTATGTCCCTGAGTCCAATCTATCACCACTCACTCATTAATATTCTGTATACCTGCAAATCCTCCTGATTCGCCAAATGCTTGCAACCGAGCCAGATCAACCAGTTCCTCACACAACCACTCGAGCACAGGCTTCAATCCCCCTCGACCCAATCGACTTGGCAATCTTGCAAAGAGGTGCCCAAGCTCCCATAATAGCGGTGACCCCAGTGCAAAGAATCATAGGACCATACTTGGTAGCATATCCCATAGCGTCACCTGTCGAAATGGAGCTTCCTGCAGAGACAAGGGCACCGCTGACAGGGCCAGCGACAACAAACCCAAGACCCCGGCCACCAAGAAGCATCCCAAATACCAGCGACGTATTAATCGTTGCATCATCTCCTTTAATTTCCTGCAGGGCTCCTGACCATGTCGAGCTGAAGCCCCCAGCGAAGAAGCCGTAGAGGATCACGAACAGCACCATAGTGCTGAGGTGGCGGCTTAGACCCCAGAGGAGGAAGACCGGAAGTGCACTTCCCAGGGATGATACCAAAATTACTTTGGCTGCAGAAATCTTGTCGCCCAGCATTCCGTGCATCAAAGATCCGGGCACGGAAGCAAGTGAAAACAGAGCCATCAAGATAGGCCCCGTGACTGACGAGAATCCGATCGCCTTGGCGTAGCTGGCCAGGTATGTGCTCGGCATCAAATATCCCAAAGACTGCACGATAATGCCAATCTGAACCATCCAGAACGACCCGAATCCAAGGAAGGCAAAACTAATCGGTCGCGGCCGTGAGTCGCGGCTCAAATCGACTCGAGGCTTCAGGAAGAAGAGTGTCGGAAGAGTCATTGCGACAGATGCGACTGTCCAAGATAGCAAGGTCGCCTTGAGTCCAAATCTTTGTAGTAAAGCGCTGAAGAGGAAGGGCATGGCGACACCAACGGAGGACTTTCCTGCCCACATGACGCCGTATGCGAAGCCTTTTCGTTCGACGAACCATTCGTCCATGTAGAGGGAGATTGGACTGAAGAGAAGACTGCATCCGATGGCGTATAGAACTCCCTGCGTAGCGATAAGTCCTGAAACATCCTTGACGAATGCCGAGGTCGTCAAGCTAACGATGGTAACGAAGAGTCCGAGCGGACCGAACCACTTTCGAAGACGAGGATACCGGTTGAGAGCGATAAAGGCCAAGGGCATCATGAGGTACATGATTCCGGTCTGGGAGGCACCGATGGATGCAATTCCGCTTGGTGAAGTACCAAGGTTTCCGTGGGAAGTGTAGTATTCTTGAAAGATTCCAAACGAGACTGAGTATCCTGTCACGATCTCGTGTTAGCTTGAACAATGATTCCTTGACGGGTAGGCATACCCCAAATGGGTGCTTGTGCTATCGTACAACAAGCAAGAGCGACATAGGCTCCACGGCCTCGATCTGTAGGTGGCAACGCGTCGATAGTCGTAGATCCCTCCTCTGGCCTCGTCTCGTCCCCGCCAGAGCGTGCGACTTGAAGTTCGTGAGAAGTTGCAGACTCCATGGTCGTTTAAGTTGTGTTGAATGTCCACAGATGTAAATCTTGAAATCGTTTCCCTCTTATAAAGAGATGAAATCAATAAATGACTCAGGATTGACGAATGCCCTCGGTGAAGAGATTTATTTCCTCTTTTGGCTGCTCCAAGTGATCTAAAGATGTCATGGTCCGTCGAAGGGCGCCCAATCAGGTCCACCATGATTCCGACATCGCAGCACATTTGAAGTATTCATGGTCAGTCAGCAATAGGACCCTTCAAAAATTGAAATTATAGTCAAGTTGACAGCAAGTAATAAACGCACAATATTGTGTCCCTTGGTTTCCTCAAGCAATTGTCTTCGTCGCTTGCCAGTCTGGCCTTGGACATTCCGGAATCCACCATCGACGTTCTTTAATCAGATCGGGACAGCCCCAGTAATAAGCATGTGCAGAGGGCTTTCAACATTGCTTAAAGAGCCAAGTTAGAACATCGGAAACATAGGTAGAAAAGTTTTGTTTATTAAACCCAAAAAGAACCGTCAACGCCACCCTCGTACGCCTGTTGTCTTATCCCATCCCTACCCGTCTCTCCTTTCCCTGTTCCTCCCTGTCTGAGGAATTAGGTTCTGAGCAACCTTCTTATCGTTGCCTAATCCCAACGCGACGCGGCCCATGTTCCTTGCGAAACTCCCCCGGATAATCTTCCCAAGTGGCCGAGCCGTCGCCCGCGTGCTCGGATCCAGTATACGGGTTGTAGAGGCGTGGCTTGCGCCCCTGGGGCTGGTCCTCATATCTCCCAGCACCGTAAGCCAGCCTCGGGCCCATCATGGGAGGAGTGTACTTCTCCTTGGACTGAAAGCAACCCATGATGATAGAAATGAAGAAAATGGTCTGGAGAGGCGAATTCTTGAGTCGTGCGGATGCGTGTGTGTGTATGTGTGTGCGTCTGAGCACGACAAAAATATCATCAGTATGTGAACTGGGTATGGGCAAGATTTGGATACTCACAGTAGTGTTGTGGTTTCGTTGGTTAATCTAGGAGTAGTCTTTGGGTATACTTTGAATATGTAGAGATGAAGAGAGGATGAGGGGAGATTCCAAACATTGAGAAGTCGATGGGATTTATATAGAGATCTGAAAGACTGGATGCAGGAGCAAGTGTCAAATCTGTCAAGCAGGAAACTTTCGACATGCTTGACGGGAAAGGCGTTTAGAAGGTGAGAAGCTGCCATGCTGAAGTTAAGAATACGAGCAGGAAGTGGCCATGACATTACGGAAGCCGCTACGATAAACTCTCCAGTTTGATAACTAAGGTAGGCAGTTGCGTGGGAGTTGTGTGGCTTTGAAACCCAATCGATTAAAAACTCGATGCCAGTTGAAACTCAACGTCCATTGAAACCTAATGCTCATTGAAACATAATATCTATTAACAACTAATGTCGTTTCCCCACACTAGTTAGTGATAATGTTTTAGGTTCCTATCATTCATGACTCGGCAGCACAATTCGGCATTGAGCTTGAGGTAGGCAGGTAGGGAAGGATGTCAGATGAGAGATGAGAGGAATGAAGAATCTTGGAAGTCTACAATACCCCACCGGTTTTTATAATTCAAAAGGAAACGATTTGAAGGAATAAAGGACCCGTGTTTTGCAATCAAGATTTTAAATATAGATAATGGACAGTTGTGCCGTATAGATTGAGGCTCAACAAATCAAACTACGCGGAGCTGAGGCTACAAAACATCTATGGATCATTCAAGTTCTAAATGACCTAGGAATTTGTCTTTACATCAGTCACCAGGCGTTTTAATGACCGGCACTTATCGAACCGGGTATCGAGCATCGTTGGCTCTCTTTTCACCTGTGCTGTTGATCTCAAGATGCTCTCTCTGGCCCAGGCTAAGCTACCCTACAGAGTTGAGGAGAAATTCGACTACGCACTCAAGTCAAATCAATGCAATTGAAGCCAAGAAATCTTTCATCTGTTGTATCTCAATCCTCTCAAAGATTCAATTTAGATAAAACTTGGGCATCTCAGAGAATTACGCTGATTCAGTGGCCGGGATGTTCTCATATATTCAAACATGATCATCGTCTGGAATCTAGATCGAAATCAGACCCGGTAAAGCCACGTAGTTGCTACGCCCTGAAGCCCTGCCTAGAGCCCAAATGTGTAGACGTGGACGGCCCAGGCCACACGATTGAGCGCGTCGAGCGTGTCAGTGATGAATTGGACATTTGGCCATGATGTCGCGTAGACGCGTTACCTGACGTGATTAAAAAGTGTTGATTACGTTTTTGACCGTCATGGCCGAGGTCATCCGCTGACTGTGTGATAAGGGTGTAGGTGTATGGGCGTGGTTCAGAGTCCCATGATGCCCATGCCTGCCTATCATGAGTGGGGAGGTTATCACGACGGCTTCAATGACGTAATAGAACACATCCCCCCTCAACACCGGCCATTCTCCCGTTGAAGGGACAGATCATTTCAAAAATAAATCCGAAATTCGGTCCTGATCTGGAAAATTCGAAATTGGTCCGAATTTATCATTGGACAGGAACTCGCCCAAACTGACCAAATCCCGACGGGCATCCCCCATTTTCAATAATGGAAAGTCGACCAGGTGACAGATTTATCATTGGCTCTAGATGCCATTTTGACAGATCAGCCGTATCCACACCTTCGTCTACTTATACCCCATCGATTTCCTGCTGTCCTGGCTTTCTTCTGGTTTGCACTTCACACTAACATCATCGCAGTACGATCTCGCAAAGCTAACCAACGATCACGTACACGATACCGTTGTGAGTATTCCCCTTGGTGATCCAGGCTGATGTGGCAAGAAGTCTTGCCCATGTTTTATTCATTCTTGTTCATTCGCTGATGATGTTTCTGTCGCATCTAGACGCATACGCATACCGTCATACGCAAACGCTCACGTTCACGTTCACGCACACGCAAACGCATACGCACGACTTCAGAACTCGCTTCCATTTAATCATTTTCTTCATCTCACGAGTATGTTGACTCAAATATCTACTATATTTTGCTATTTACTGACTCCAAAGCTCCGATACCGCCGATTATCGTCATCATGGGCTGCATTTGCTCTAAGGATTCGAAGACCTCGTCTGCCGTCCGCGTCGACAACGATCCGGGGCTTGTTTCTGGTGCCGGAAGGTACTCGGAGCAGGTTCCTGGCTGGAAGCCACGATACTACAACCCCTTTACCGGGTCCGAACACGCGAGCGATGATTCGGCCACCTAGGAAGGGTATCCGGGGGAGTTTGGTGGGCTTCCACGACGCGTCCCGAGCGGCAACGACAAGCGAGCGCCACGTCCCGTCAAGATCAAACGAGCGCCGAAGCGAGTCTCCGTTTCCCATGTCAAATGGAAGGACCCGATCGATGAACGATTCGAGTATTCGGTCCCCGGTCGAAAGCCCAGGCACGACAACCCGCAAACCAGTAGCAAGAGCGCGAGCGACGACTCAACTATTGGCGACAATCCTCCGAGGGAGTACGCTGGACTTCCAGGACCCATACCGAACGACAAGGACCGACCGCCGCGACCCGTCAGGATCAAGCCTCGACCGCGACGATCGACCTTGTGGAGTGTGAGATGGAGTAGTGTGAAGTGAGGCAAGAAGGCTGCCGAGAAGCGTGGTTCCCTCGATGCCGACGCGTAGACGACCGACCGACCGACTGACGGAGACGAGGAATGGCTGGGGGAGGCGTGGATGAGTACTGTGCTGGGTTAGTGTTCTATATTGATGCTTGATCATGTTAACGTCCCAGCTGACACCATCACAGCGGGGTGGATGCTAATGTACTAACGTAGGTAGGGAATGGGGATTGCGCGGAGGGTGGCCTTTGGCGCGGATAGGGGATGAGGGGGGTAAGTTCCATCCCTGGTGATCTGTCCACATATACATACTGACAGTGAGTTTCAGGTATGGGGGCATGGATGATGGAGTCTAGGTACGTGAGGGGAGAGGTGGAGGTTTGCTTTCTATAGCGTTGTTTTCCATAGCGTTGTTTCCTATAGCGTTTTGTTTTTCTTGTATCTAGCGTTTGGTTTTTAGGTAGATAGAGGATGGGCAGCGTTGATAGGGGGAGGGGACGGTCGTTTGAATAGGGAGGGAAGGAGGAGGATTGGGAGCGTTGATGTCTACTGACTTTCTAGCGTTGCTTTACTAACCAGCGTTGCTTTTTGTTTTTTGTTTTGGACTTTGGATGCTGCTAACGAGACGGGTTCTGGTCAGGTTTCAAGGCATAAGGGTGGGTTAGTGGGCTTCCTTCGTTTTCCCTCCTTCGTTTTCCCTCCTTCGTCCGATTTCGAGTCGATCCCAAAGGTATGTTTGAAGAATTTTGTTTTACGATCCCACAGCATTGCGTTCCTGTCTCTCGTTTCGCCCATCACTGTTCGTCTCTCGTTTTTACCAAACGCCGTTCCTCCCTTCGCTCTCGTTCTACCGATCGTCGTTCCTTTGTTCGCCTTCGTTTACCTCCCAGAGTTGCTTTCCCGGCCTTCGTTTTCTAACTATTTTCTTCACGATGGGATGCCTAGTTGTGCAGATTATGCTAACGGGTGCTTGGATAGGTGAAAAAAGGATCAAGGGTGGGTTAGTGGGATTCTTTTTTTCTACGTCAGTTTGTGTTTGGAACCGGAGTGAAAAAAGGTATGATACGTAGGAGTGACTGTAGTATGGGTACTTGACTGATCAAACTCCAACACCAACCACGCTGCCGAACGGACGACGATGCGGCATCCGAGCCCAAAGGCAATCCGATTGAGTGATAGACCGTGAAAGAGACCCCCTTGTGATTTTGTGATAGAAGACGGCGATCGAAGGTGTACCAGCCTAACCCGTCGTACATTCTTGCCGTGAGTGCGTGTCGACCGACAAGAATGTTCCTATCTGACAAGAGGACAAAGATGTCGAGAGGCTGGAGCCCCCTTAGCAAAGCAGGTAAGAATGTAGTATCTGAAAGGACTCGGGAACATAATGACACACGTTTGTTGAC